TAATTATCACTGGCTCACTACATTACATTAATATTCATCGCATATCCAATGTTGTTGCGTTGTTTCAATAACTATCAGTAAATTATCCAGCAAACATCAAGTAAAAGTTATATAACTATTATTTAATGCTTAGGTATGTTATAATATTATATAAACACAAATTAAAAATATATAAATTATATAAACACAAATCGTAAAAATATCGTTGGAGTCATTGGGAATCGTCGCGTGCCGCTCGATCGTCAGGTTAAGCAACACTTCAACGGAGTCAGGACATAGATGGGTGATTGGTAGATACTGCTTGTGATCGAAATTATTGAGGAAAGGATTCACAAAAGTTTGGAGTGTGTATTGACAATCTTTGATACCTAGTAGTTTATGAGACATAAGAAAATTAGGAATTATAAATATATTTTTTTAAATATTATGATTTTCTCATTTTTCACATTCGCACAATACTTCTCAAAATTTGATTACTATCAATATTTAATAGTGATTGTATTACCAGTATTCACCAGAAATTAAGTACTGACGAAAAAATTACTGAATTACTGGTAATATATAATCACTAATAATTTTTTAGTATTTATTAGTATAATATTCCTGTAAAGGTGTTATCTGGGATTTTACTTTGTATAATAAAACATATTAATAATATTACATATATATTGCATTGCAATGTTGCTGCACAGTTGCGTTGTTATATTGCCGCAAGTGGACATTTTATTGTTGCTGCAACGTTGCAGTAGCATTGTAGCAACATTTTGCAACGTTGTTGCAATGTCACAATATTGCAAAACAATGATGCTACAATGTTGTTGCAACGTTGCTGTGCTGTATGAGTGTAGATGGTTTTCATGCTCGATTTCGATATTTAGAAAACGTCTGCAATCTCCCACGTCGTGTAGTGTGGATTGGTATCGATTACCGCCTTCAATTTGTCGCTGTCGATCTCATTTGATCGGTCTAAGCGTGGTTTGTCTTTGATGGAAAAATTTTCGCAACAAAATATCGCAAACCACTTTTGGCACACACGTTCTTTCATGGCATCTTCACCAATATATTGCACAAATCTTTTTACAGGTTTGCGCCGCGTTTTTGCCTTTTTTAAAATAAAAAGCATAATATGCCGTAAATGCTCATTCTGGTTATCCATTTTCAACTGACACAAAATACACAAGATACACAAACAATCTTTACGTATATTTTTTAAATGCACGTTGAAATGTGATCTGTCAATGGCTATACGCTTTCAAGACTTTCGGCTGAAGATGAAGCTTAGCAGAGCGCTTTGAAGCCATCTATCGAGAAAAACCGCACGGACTTATTGGCCAACCAAATTCAAAGTGAGTGGTTACGGCTTACGTTCGCTGTGGTCGATGAAAGGAAATAATTTGTAGTATCCAGCACCTCTCGAGAGCGAGAGAAGGGCTTTAAGTGTTCCCTTGGTCCGCGAGGCGGCAGGGAGGGACGTGGCCTTGGCCGAGGCTCTGAAGATTTAGTATCCCGAATGATGGGTACTTAGCACGATAAGTTACCGTTACTTAGTTTTGATTTTGCACTCGTGAATTTCGAGAGAACAATTCAGTGGAACAGTAAAAATGATGGCACACGAGAACGAAATCCGTCCGTCGTTGCAAACTCCCGGATGGGGACTTATAAAAAATGTCAGCGCGTATTAGAGATTTAAAATGAGAGTAGGCTGATACGAGGACGGAATATGATTGACCGTCTTGTGTGACTCTCGGAAAAAGACTCATGAAGAAAAATGGAAACTGTGATCGTTTCTGATGCAAAGATTAGGAATCCGCGCTCACCGGTCCTTCTCCGTACTTCTCACAAGGTACTGGTCAGCGGTTTTTCGGTGGGAACGCTGAAGAACCTAGTTGCGGTTAGTGTTCTTCTGTTCTCGGTGTCCGGTGAGAGACGGATTATGCACATCTGTTCTCATGGGACTAACAAGGGGAGGACCAGGTGACTTACCCTGGGATTTCGACCCCTATTTTTTTAATTATTCTGGAGATGAAAAAAAAAAGATACGTGTCCCGGCGTTTGATAGAATAGGCCTTAGTTTCGGAGTAATAAATTTGTGAAAATTGGCCATATCCGAAGCGCACCACGGCACGCCATATGAGCCTTCCCGGTAACTGTACTTCCAACCAGTGCAGTTGGCTTCGTGAGTTAGGTGCTTGCTTCATAATTCGTAAGATCCAAGTTCGCTCACGGTGGTGAACAATAATATTTTTTTAATGAGTGTTTTTATTTATTTTTATTTATTTTGATGATATTGATATAGTATGCAAATTTTTTAAATAGAAAATTTAATTTAATATCACATTCTAAACATTAATTTAAATTTAATTTTAAGCGAATTTTAATCCAAGTAATAATATTTAAAATAATAAATAATTAATAATAATAATATATAAGTTATTTGTAATGGATAACATATAAAGACAACATATCTAAATTTTCAAATTGTTTAAATTTAAAACCGGTAAAAGAAGCGAATAAATGGTAAATGAACGAGAGGTTTTTAATCCCCTTGCAGGTATGTAGTCTATCTATTACTTCAGGTAATATTTTGCAGGTATCTATTACTTCTTACTGTACGATACTAATAACTTTGAAACGGCTGACTCAAAGTGAATAAAATTATAGTGCTTTGAAAAGGTATTGAGAAGGTATTGAGACTATAAGAATATGCAATAAAAAATAGGGTGTTTCATTTAAAAAATTCAAGTTGACTTTGACTTCACCTTAACGACGGCAATCAGGGTCAAACTGATGAGATTATTGAATAGACCTTTTTAAATCCTACAACTTTTATTTGGAACATTTTTCTGTAAAACTTATATTTTTTGAGATTTTTTAGGGTTTCCATACTTTTTCCTCATCCTGTATATACAGTGTTCCCAAAAGGTGGTACTAAATTTTAGGGGTATATAGTATGCGTTAAAATAAACCAAACATTCTTAATGAACAGTACTCCGAAAACCTTTTATTTCTGAGTTATAAAGCATTTTCTTCTGTGAAAAATAAAATATAAATTACATCTACAATAAATGTTCAATGTGCTTTCAGCTTATGTCAATACACATTTCGGCATGTTTCGTCATTGAAGGTCAAAGAATCCAGGTTTATTTCGTATTTGTTGACAACAGTTTCCAAATCTCTTAGTCAGTTCATTCACGGACGCCCGTATGTGACCACCTAATTACGCAGGGATTGTTGTAATCCCTTCACCGGATTTAAATCCGTTGGATTATTATCTATGGAGACACTTGAAGAGCATGGTATATATCACACCATTTGATACAATAGATAAATTGACTCAGAAAATTGAAAACTGTTGTCAACAAATATGGAATAAATCCGGAATCTTTGAACGTATTCGATCTTCAATGAGAAGACGTGTCGAATTGTGTGTTGAAATGGACGAAAGGCACATTGAACATTTATTGTAAATTTTAGTTATTTTCTATTTTTCACAGAAAAAAATGCTTCATAACTTAGAAATAAAAGGTTTTCGAAGTACTGTTTATTAAGACTTTTTGGTTTGTTCTAACGAGTACTACATACACCTAAAATTTGGTACCATCTTTTAGAAACACCCTGTATATATACAGTGCCCGCCAAAAGTTGCAGGTCACCTAAATAATTTTTGAATGGTTTGAAATATAGGATTGAAATTTATAGGGATACAATGGGATCACAAAGTCTATTATTTAATCACAAAAACACCCTTCTCCACACCTGCGGGAGGCGGCGGGAGAAAGGGGCCAAAAAATCTTAAATGGAATGTGGAGTCGAATGAGGGCTCATTCGATATGGCTTTCTGAGACGAGAACAATGCGAGGTCGCCGAGGTCTCTACGATTTTTTTTCGCAGAGTTATGATCATTTGAACATTTCAATTGAGATTTTGCGATAGCGAGGGCCCACGGCGACAACAGAAGAAAAATAAAACTTTACGCGGGCACGCGTGTTCCTAAGTGTGTGTGTGTATGTGTGTGTCACATAGAGATAAGGACCCTGCGGTCCGTCATTTCCGCTGTATTTAATAACTTCAAATCCTCTCTGTTATGTGTGTGTGTGTGTGTGTGTGTGTGTGTGTGTGTGTGTGTGTGTGTGTGTGTGTGCGCGCGCATGCAGAAAGAGGTCATTTCGAACACCTCATATAATTTTTACATTCACATACACACATATACACACACGACAGAGAGGGTTTGGAGTCACTAAATACCACAGGAGTGACGAACTGTGTGGTCCTGATCTCTGCCAAGAGATGCTAAGCGGGCTGTACCTCCACGCGATGCATCCTGGGTAATGCTAAAGCAGTCTGCAACTTTTATTTGACTTTATTTGTGTCTTGAAACTCGTAAAAACCATCTTATGTTTCAATTTTGTAAAAAAAATTCGAAGGCAAAGCAATTTCAAATTTTAACATAAGAATGGCGATAACTCGAAAACAACGCATTTTTTGACCTATGTTTAAATCAACTTTTTTTCTTGCTTTTGGTTTCCTCATTCATCTCCGGACCGATTGACCTCGACTTACGGAACACGCTGTACACACGCACACACACACACACAATCAATTACATAATAGTGATAATATTGGTATAATACCGATATTATTATATTGATAACATCGAAAACCGTAGTACTCATATCATGCTATTATGCAATATTTCGGTATGATACCGATATTAGTTATTATAGTAATACTTAAAAATTACGATTAATACAATATTTTTATTATTTAAAAAACGATGTGAACTTTTAATACCGGTTTCATACCACTATTTTTTTAAGTTAAGTTTTTTTAAGATATGCACATGAAATATCATGCGTTCATCATATCTATTATTTTATATGTGCTTATTTTAATTTTATTTAGTTTTAAACAATCTCTATTGATGATTTTCTTATTAGTTATTCTAAATCATCATCTGTGGTTTAAAATACAAATTGTTAAACAATACAATTTTTTTTCAGGCATCATTTAAGATCTCACAATCTCTTGGAGTAATAGGAGGAAAACCCAATCTGGCTTTATATTTCATAGGATGCGTGGGTTTGTATAATTTTATAAATATTATATAACGTAGGATTACCTAAAATTTAATTGAAAATATTAGAAGTAATAGTAGTTTTTTAAGAAACTATTATTAAACATGTCCTTGTGCGCTATAATATCAATTCATTAAGACATTGTATACAGGGTGTCCCATTTTAATCGATCACCTCAAATATCTCTTGAACAGTGCATTTTAGGGAAAAATGTTTCAAATAAAAGTTTTGGGATTTCGAGGGGGACATAAGATGATATTATTGGTTTGACCTCGAGCGGCGTCGTCAAGGTCAGGACAAGGTCACTTTGAATTTTTTAAATGGAACCCCCCATTTTTCATTACATATTCTTATAGTATACATCGAGAACTTTCCAAAACACTATAATAAAATATTTTTTTCATTAAGTATCTTTCAAGTTAAAAGGTTTCAAAGTTACAATATTGTTGCCATTAGTATTTGTACCCAAGGTTTTCGACCGACGGCTAAAACCTTTTGAATATTGTTTAGGGTCATGACCTTGACAATATTTGTCAAGGTTAAGGCGATTGAAGGCTGTTACTAATATTTTCATTTCTTTAAATTTTACAGTGAAAATGAAAATAATAATTTAAAATCATGAGGTAACATGTGGAGTCCAATTGATTCATATGATCTAAAGGATCATATAAAGATCACAATGCTGTGATTATTAAAGAAATTTATTAATGCGATTTCATACGTGTGCTTTTTTGTTGCTCCGACGAAGTATTGTGTTCTTCATATAATCCTTTAGAGTCAATCGGACCCCACATGTTACCTCATGATTTTAAATTATTATTTTCGTTTTCACTGTAAAATTTGAAGAAATGAAAATATTAGGAACAGCCTTCAACCACTTTGACCTTGACAAATGTCAAGGTCATGGCCCTGAACAACATTCAAAAGGATTTAGCCGTCGATCGAAATTTTGGGTACAAATGCTAATGGCAACAATATTGTAACTTTGAAGCCTTTTAACTCGAAAGATACTTATTGAAAAAATATTTTATTAGTGTTTTGGAAAGCTCTCGATGTATACTATAAGAATATGTAATGAAAAATAGGAGGTTCCATTTAAAAAATTCAATGTGAGCTTGTCCTGACCTTGACGAGACCACTTGAGGTCAAATCAATGACATCATCTTATGTCCCCTTCGAAATCCCAAAACTTTTATCTGAAACATTTTTCCCTAAAATGCACTATTCAAGAGATGCTTGAGGTGATCAATTAAAATGGGACATTCTGTATAGGGTGAACTATTTATAATGACAAGTATATCTCGTGAAATATACATTATATGAAAAAAATATAGACAAGATTTGTTTGGTATTAAAGAGGATATAAGATGGCGTTATCAGTTATATTATAAATGCTATAATAGTGGTGCTATTGTAGATTAAACAAAGATCAGCTATATATATTTTTTAATATAAAAATCCCTATTTTTATTTTTTTTATATGAAAGTAAGGGTAAAAACAAATACTTTCTATTCGGAACATTTTTTTTATTAAATGTAAATTTTTCAAGATAATAAACTTTAAAGAAAGATCATTTCATGATATTTTCATATATATTTCCGAAATAAAAAATTCCTGAAGATTTTTTAATAAAAGTAAAATATTATTATATAATAATTATACAATAATTTATACTTTGTTTAAAATATATTTAATAATAATGAAAGAAGGAGTAATTTCTTTTAAAGATACATTTTATTGTTTATAGTAGTTTATATTGCTTTACATGAGTATTTGTACAAAAATAAATTTCAAAAAATATAGAATTTGTATGATCAATGAGAAAAGTACAAACTGTTTATTATATCAAATCTTCAAAATGGTGACCATTGATTTCAATATATTTTGTAATATGTTCCCTAAAATTCCATTCCGTGTTTTGCAAAATTTGTGAATTATTAAAGACATATACATCAACAATATGCTGTTGCATGTTCTCAAATGTTGTAGGCACCTTATTATTATAGCATATTTCTGCCAATAGTCTCTCTATAGTAAAATAATTTAATAGTGTAAGAACAGGCGAACAAGCAGGTCAAACGATGGGTCCTTTATGCTCTACTCACCGATTAGGAAAATCTCTATTCAATATCTTGTGAATTTGAAGTGAGTTATGAACTGGCGTTATGAACAACCGATACATATTGATACCGAGCATATTGATACTACATATTCAATTTCACGTGAAGTGTTAAATTTTCTAATAATTCTGAAATTATATCCAAGAAATTCTTATACTTTTCTTTATTCAACGTGTCGTTAATGAAATATAATCCAACTAATCGGTTACCAATAATTCCATACCAAACATTTATGTTTCATGGGCGCTGATGTTTTATTTTCCGTATCCATCTTAAATTCTCTATTAACCAATAATATATATTATACCGATTTATTTGATCATGATTTGTAAACATTGCTTCATCAGGGAATAACACTGATGAAAAGATATGGTAATAAGTTATAAAACTTAAATGATTTCTGTCAGAATATCGATTAGCGTACAAATTACATTCATTTTTGATATTTTTCTGAGCTTTCCTATAAATTATATCAATTTTTTCTTCAATCAAGAAACGAAATATTTTATTACAAATTCACAATTTACTATTACGAATAACATGAAATAAACGAATATTATCATAGCGCTGATAGCATTGATGTAGCATTAATGATTTTTCGCTGCCGTTTAATTATAATGCTTATAAGCATGACGAACGAAGCAAGGTTTACCTTATATCGCTCGATGTTTACAACGCGAAATATAGTTACGTTATATTGTAGCGTATTACAAGAGTTGTTTAATAAGTATTTCAAAAAAGCAAGTTAATCATTTTTTTTTTTTTTTAATTCGAGTTTATTCCTTAAGATAGTCTCCATCGAGCTCGATACATTTTGTCTAGTTTCCAATTTTTTTATTTTTTCGGAAAAGTAGGTTTTTCCGAAACTTGTAAAAAAAATAATCGTTAACAGCGGCGACGACTTCTTCATTCGATGAAAATTTCCTCCTTCCAAACTAAATCTTCACGTTTTGGAATAAAAAGAAGTCACACAGAGTTAAATCTGGAGAATAGGGTGAACAGGATCTCTTACGGAAAAATGCTATTGAACACGTAATACTTAGTATTGGTTAATATTAAATTGGTCAATATTTCTTTGGGGAATACTTACAAGGAACACTAGGCAACTCAAAAATTTAAAAAATTCTGAAACTTTGTGTGCAAGTAGAATATTTCATCCGTAACAAAACTATTTTTTGTACGTGCGGAATTACAGTTTTAGGAGATGAAACACACCTTTGAAAAAATCGGTTTTTTTTCTTTTAAAGCGAATATCGTCAAAACTATAAGAGATAGAAAAATTTTTTCACAGTGAAACTTGAATGATTTCAAGAGTACTTTTAAACTATAACAAAAAAATTTTTTGAATTGTTTATTTATTGTATACCCTCAACTCAACCTCTATTTAAAAAATTTTTTTAATTTTTATATAACGGAAATTAAAGAGAATTTTACGCTGAAAACGACGATATATATTTAATTATGTTCGGAAAAATAATTTTTCAAATATGAACGAAAACGTTTTTGTATACGTTCTCCGTACATACGAGGATGGATCAATTAGTACCCGTGTTTGAAGACAGATGGCATTGCTTAGAGAAACTGGCATTACCATCGTGTACTACCATCTTTCAAACGACGCCATACAAAATTTCAAACTGATTCATAGGTTAGTTCTGATTTGACAGCCATTTGTATTAAACGTGTTTGATGTTTTTCGATACAATGAAAAAAGAGCAATATCGATCCATAATTCGCTTTTTATTTTTGGATGGAAAAACGTGCGAAGAAATAAAAGCGAAGATGGATGCTGTCTATAAGACAGCAAGGTAAGATGGTAAAGACCTTTTACCATCTATGACAACCATGACATATTGGTTTAACGAATTTAAACGTGGCCGTACCTTTGTTTTTGATGAGGAGCGTCCAGGCCGCCCAGCAAACGTTGTTACTGAGGAAATCGTTGAAAAGGTCCACGACATAATTCTCGCTGATCGCCAAACGTAAGTGCGCGAAATAGCAGAGGCCGAAGGCGTGTCATATGGAACAGCAATTAATATTTTACATGATAAGTTAAGAATCAGGAAACTGTCGGTCCGATGGGTTCGGCGATTGTTCACGGTGGACAACAAGCGGATACGGCTGTAATTTCGAAGCAGTATTTGGAGCTCTTTAAGTAAGCGAAATTCGCAGGAGTTTTTGCGTCGAGTCGTCACCGTTGATGAAACCTGGATCCATCACTATATGCCAGAGACCAAGCAACAGTCAAAACAATGGACTTTTCCGGGCGAATCTGCTCCGAAGAAGGCAAAGACGATCCCATCGACCGGAAAGATCGTGGCCACGATTTTTTGGGATTCGAAGGAAATAATCCTTATGAATTTTTTGGAGAAATGAAACATGATCACGGGGCAGTATTACAGTGAATTATTAGACCGATTCGACGAGAAATTGAACACGACCCCATTTGGCAAGGAAAAAAATGTTCTACTAGGACAACGCATCAGTTCACTCATTCGGAATCGTCGCAACTAAATTGCATGACGAATTGCGCTACGAATTGCTGCCGCACCCACCGTACTCGCCTGACATGGCTCCTTGCGACTTCTTTCTGTTCCCCACAAAAAAGCGTGGCTCGCGGGAAAAAAATTTCATCTCAAACGAGGAGGTCATCGTCGAGACAGAAGCCTATTTTGAAGAGTTTGACAAATTGTATTTTTTGGAGTTGTTTAAGAAGTGGCAGGGACATTGAGAACAGTGTATCGTCCTAAAAGGAGATTACGTTGAAAAATAAAAAAAAATTTTGTGAAAAATTTGCGTCTTCATTTCTCTAACACGGGTACTTATTGATCCACACTCGTATTTATCTCATACCGCGTTGGCTGCGCGAGATAGCGTGAAAGG